AGGAGATTGGTATACAGCTCAAATTGCTTCTGCTCCTTCACCGAACTGTGTATTTAAAATAAAAGTACAAACTGCTGGCTTCTCTGGAGAACTTCCAGTGTGCTCTCTGGTGCAATTGGCACGTTGATGGGAATATTTACACTTAGAAAATGTAACCTCTGAATTTTCTAGCTCTTGTCCACACTCAAGCAATGAAACATTGCATCTTCCCCAGCTGCTTTCAGCTCCAAATGGCAAAGCTCAGTCATTTTCTCTTTCAAACCAGAAGTCCACGATCGGCTTTTGCACCACACGGGCTCACACCCAGCACTGCTGTGCCCTGAAGATGTTGCACGGTGCCTTGAGGATGCTGCCCACCCCCTGTGGTTCTCTGCTGCTCTCCATTGCATTCCTAAGGTAGGGGGAAATGGCTCAGATTGTGAATGTGTGAGCAGCTTTAGCAGGGGCAGCTCTCATGACCTTTCAAGGGCTGCGGGAGGCCCCTACCCAGCACCAGTAACTGTGCTTGCTGAGAAGCAGGTGGGTGCACTGCTGGGAAGCAGAGAAATGCACCTCTTGAGCATGGTAGGAACTTTGGGACTGGCAAACTGTCTAATGCAGTGGCCTTGTATATTCAGCATCACTCTCATATCATCATGTAAAGTATTTATGTACCTCATAAATATGGAATAACTTGTAGGAACCTGTAGGGACAATATTATTCAGCTTTTCAAGCTCATTATGCAGGTAATGGAAGCATTTTCACTCTGCTGAGCTTGTTACACAATGGCACTTTTGCCACTGAATTCTGACTTTGTCAGCCAAGCACAATCCCGACAGCTGATGTGAAAATCATAAATGGATTATGTATATTAAAATATTTTTGATACTGAGAAAAGAATGAAGATATCACTATCTGGGACTTTAGTTGCCCTGAACAATTCAGCTGCAGACCCACATCTGTGTGAATGATGTGACTGCTCCCACTGGCATCACCCAAGCGTAGGAGAACCCTCCCAGCTGAAGCACAAGATACCACCATCAACTCGTTTCACTTTGGGCCTCCATCACAACCGACGTCCCTGGCTGTGGTCCTGGCAGTGCTCTGCCAATGGAACGTACCTGCAGTACCGGTGAGGGCAGTGTGATGGATCTGCCAGGTGATGCCCTGGCTGCTGCTGGGCTTTCTTTGAACAAGTCTCAAAAATAGCTTTTTAAATTGTCTCTTGAACTACCTACTCCTCTTGATTAAACAAGCAGGGCTAATTACAAGATGAAGCCCGGAATTATCCACTGGAAGGTAGATATTTGTTAATGAAATCGATTGATCACGAAACTAATGATGTCCAGCGCTTGGGGCCATCCTTGATGATGGACACTGCTGGTTTGTGAGTGTACAAAGTGAATGTAGCTGGCTCTGGCCTCTCCTCTTCCAGGCAGTTATTTGTGATTAGTTTTATTTCACCCCAAAGCACAACAGAGTAAAGAAGAGATCTCTTTTACACCTCTGTTTACTCTAGAATTGCATCTGTTTTACTCCTCTCTGAATTCAAGTATCTACATCCTTCCACTGGAAAAAAAAAAAAAGGAAATGAAGCCATCTTAATTTTTTTTTTTCTTAAAATCTTCACAGGAGCAGGCAGGAACAAGCACTTAAAAATGCACACTGCTAAGACTGTGATAACAGGACGTGGGGAGAAAGACTACGTAACTATCAGCTTTTGGCATGCAGTTCTACACTGTCTGGTAATGAAGATGAATTGTGTCTTTTGAAACCCTTTCTTTAAAATTAGCTTAAATGAATGTGCAGGAGTGAGCATTCTTGACCCTGCGCACTTCTACAGAACTTACAGTGAAGCTGATTGCTGAATTATCTGGCTTTTATTTGTGAGATGGGGAAAAGTCCTGCAGGCACACAGAAGGTATCCTGGAACTAAGGCAGGCAGTGATGTGCCTGTGACAGCTGACCTCATCCTGGCCGGGCGGATTTGTGCCCCTACAGAGCAGAAGAGAAGAGGAAAAAGCTGCAGCAGCCCCCTGATGCTCATGCCCTGAACCAGCTGCACGCTGGGCTCAGTCCCAGTGATGGGCATATGGCAAAAACACTTATGGCAAAAGACATTCTGAATGGCCAAAGGTGTTATGAATTGCCAAGGCAGTGCTGAGATGCTGAGTCTGCCAGAAAGGTGAAGCTGCCTTTATCTCCAACACAGGATGAAACCTGACTGTTGGTGCTGCAGCAGCCCCCCTGTTGACCACAGGGCTCTGAGTCAGGGGCAGCGCTGCTCTGCGGGTGGATTTGTCTGGAGTTGGAGAGGAAGCAAAGAACATGAAGGATTCCTGCCTTTCTGCTCCTGCTCTCCCACCCTGCCTCGATGTCCAGCTGGCCAAGCTGTGATAGAGTCACTGTGGACATCCAGCAGCATCCTGGAACTTCTGCTCTCATTTCAATATTGCATTTCAGTTTTTATGATGTGCTCTGCATCACTGGGGGGTTGCAAAGGGGACAGTGCCAGGCACAAAGTGGGGAGCTCACCAGAGGCAGAACTCTTCAGATACTCTCTGTTTGTGAAAAGCAGAAAAAAGATGTTGAAATTTAGTAAAAAGGCTGTACTCCACCAAGCTTTTGTGCTGGGTATACAGAAAGGAGGGAGAGAAGACGGGAAAGAGGGAAAATAAGGGCACATCCATCTCTCTGTATTTTGCTGCTCTGCTAGAATCTGTGGTTGTCAGATACTCCAATCACCTGTCTGTGGGGCTGCAATCCATCTCAGGGTGAGCCAGGAGGAGATACACCATTGGCTATTTCACATGCAGTGTGTCATCTGGCAGGCTGTACATATAGTGAGGAAAGCGGGGACCACTCAGTCTCTGAGCAAAGCTGCTTCCAGTGAATAGCTCAGAGATACTCTGAGGATGGAAAGAAATGGGAAAGGCTTCCCCTTTTTTTTTTTTTTTTGTTGTTGTTGTTGTTCTGATAAGCTCTGAAAACTGTTGGGAAATGGAGTGCTGACTGATGAAGGACTGTGTGGAATAGCAATAAAGCACTTTTCCAAGGAGAAGCTGTGAGAGAGAAGAACAGTACCTGAAAGTAAATATTTCATAGGATTTCTTCCTACATAGAGGAAGTGTTTGGGGATATTTCAGCATCTGAATCGTCTCCTGTATACAGGACGTATGGGACTGAAAAAGAAGAGCAGTACCTGGAGAGTCCTGGAGCGCAGCTGATGCACAATCAGCACAGGAAGAAGGACCCATTTATCAACTCCTTTATGCGCTTTGCATCTGCAGGGCATATTTTTATAATGCAAGCATGCATGTTCCTCTCTGCAACCGCTGACTGTAGCACCTGAGCTCCTAGGAAGGAGGAGGGCAGGGAAACTTTCTGCTGGCCCCGCGGCTGCACTTCCTGAGCCATGAGCAGGCACACGTGGTTCCCTCTGCAGTACATCTCCAAGCCCTTCTGGAGAGCAGAGAATCACACCGGCACCAGCTTCCTCTCCGCACGGTACAGCTTCCCAAATCAGTCCTTCTTCCACAGTGATTTGGACCTGGAGGACTTGGGAGACTTTGACAGTGAGACGAAATACGAGGGCGAATCCCAGAGCAGGACGGTGCAGGCGCTGCTGATCATAGCTTACTCAGTGATCATCTGCATCTCACTCTTTGGAAACACCCTGGTGTGCCATGTGGTGATCAAGAACAAGAGGATGCACTCTGCCACCAGCCTCTTCATCATCAACCTGGCCGTGGCCGATGTGATGATCACTGTCCTCAACACCCCCTTCACGCTGGTAGGACTTGGGCAAGGCTTGGTGGGGTGGTGGGATGTGGAGCAGGGAGCTGTGTGCATGCACACATCAACAACCTGCTGGCATACAGAATTTTCTAGCAGCTCTCTCCCCCTGCTCTTATCTCCTGGGTGGGCTGTGTGCTGTGCACAGCTTCCCCTGTGCAGATATGGGCTTGGTGCAGAGATGGGGCCACTTGCCTCTGTGTCCCAGAGCCCACCAGGAGGCCTCCCCTCCTGGTACTGTTCCCTCTCCAGGATGCAGACAATACTGGGGTGTCCTGCTTGTGCTTTAGTGGGGAAGGGAGCTGGGATATGTTTAGCACTTGAAGGCACAATTAGCTGTCAATTTGCTATAGAAACACAAGCAGTCGCTGCTTGTGAAGACTGTGAGGTCTGTGCTGTGCCATGCAGCTCTGTGTGCCTCTAACCAGAGCTGGGAGTCCTTTGTTTGCTCCCAGGCACTAAATAATGGTGGCCATAAAGAGAAAAACAGAGTGAGGTGGGACGAATAGGCTGCTGCATTGCCTACAAGTGATGCAGTGCAGGACTGTCAGTGTAGCTGAGTTTGGCAGAGTCCTCTGGATCCTGAGCATCCCGAGTGCTCCTATTGTGCTCCCTGGCCATAGCTGCCCACAGCTCCCTTCCACCTTCCAGAAGCACTCCCTGCATTGCTGACTTGAATTCTCCTTTTCTCAAGCCAATCCTATGTCTTTGGTGGGGTTTCTCTGCTTTGCTCTTTTGGGATTGTTCTGGGGGAGAACAATGTGAGCATTGGCACAGCAGTTACATATTGGGCATAGGTAATTAAGAAACTGCAATCCCTCTTAGAAAAGAGCTTTGCATCAACTTTAGAGAAAAAGAAAATTGCTACGGTTTTGTTGTTACTGAGTTGTCTCTGTGGGAGTATAATTAGAATTAAAATGGTAGGTTAATTGAAAGCATTAGCTAGTCTTGACTAATCTTCTGTGTGGACATATGTGTTGCAGTAAATGTGCCTTATTTCAAATTAGCTTAATCTCCCTCCAGAATGAGTTATACCAAATGCTGTGCAGTGAGGAACACTTACTTAGCACTTGAACAACGTGTGTGCAGGGAGCAAAACAACAGCAGGTACTTGGAATAACTGCCTCTGTAGGAAAGGCACAAGAAGCAGCGCCTTCCAGGAATTCGTACGGAATGGCACGAGCCTTTCTGCTGTGCTCTGGCTTCAGACTTCACATGCTCCCCCCAGCAGCAGTGGGATTTCATGCCTGGTGGGGATAACATGGGCACCAGAGGTCAGATCGATGAGGAGGGCTCATTTCCTGGTAAAGTGTTAGTTGCTTTCTCAACTGGAGGGAAATTTTTTCTTCTGTTTGTCTAAGCTAGCTGACACCTATGAAATTGCTGTTGATGTATCTCTAACAATGTGATAAGAGGGAGCCAGCCTCAGAGATCAGTGTGGAGTTGAGGCTGCCATCCCCATTCACTGCTGAGTGGCCACGAGCTTTCGGAGATGCTCCCAATGCAGAGCACCAGCTCCTTTCCAACCCATCCATGAGTTCTTCCATGAATTCATCTCTGAGTTTTGAACTTGTGGCAACTTTATCATGGCACTTCTTCCTTACAGTGCTCCTGGGAAGCCTATTTGCAGCCCTTCAGACAGTGCACAGTTCCAATCCATTGTTTCACCTCTCCAGGTGCGGTTTGTAAGCAGCACGTGGGTCTTTGGAAAGCTGATGTGTCACATCAGCCGGTTTGTGCAGTACTGTTCTGTCCATGTGTCTGTACTGACCCTCGCTGCCATCGCTCTGGATCGTCACCAGGTACGTGATGCACCTAGCAGCTGTGTTTGTTGGGAGGTAGGGAGCTACATGCATTAGGTTTCAAGTTCCAGTTCCTGAAACCCTGCGGCGTCTTGGGAATGAAGGAACTGGGCTGAGGGATTCTGGTTTTCATGCTGCTGGACAAAAACCTGCTTCCTCGTGGTAATGGTGGTCCAATTAGAGAGGTTGTGGAGTTCCCATCCTTGGGGATATCCCAAACCCAACTAGAGGCAGCCCAAGGCAGCCTGCAAGGTATGCTTTCTTGCAGTGCTGGAGCCTGCAGTAATGGCTGTTACTGATAAGCACAACAAATGACACAGAGAAATTAAGTTTAAAACAGTAACTGGTGGCACTCTGATTGCCTGGGTTGTGCTCCATCTGGTGTTGGAGCACGGATCATCCATTCCCATCCAAGGAGTTTGGTAGTCTGCTCATTCTACAGATACTGCAGCTCCTGAAAGAAAATTCTGATAATGTTGTATTTTAATTAGTAGATTTTTGTCATTTTTATCAGTTGAGGGCACTTTAAATCCACTGAACGGGTTGTTCTCTGCAGGTTATCATGCACCCTCTCAAGCCGCGCATGTCCATGGTGAAAGGAGGGATTTGCATCATTATCATCTGGGTTATGGCCAGCTGCTTCTCACTGCCTCATGCCATCTATCAGACCTTGACAAGGTTTTACATCGGGTAAGACATTTGCACGGTGATCCTTTGTAGGACATACTCAGTTTAGTCAAGGTCACACAGATTCTAATGCATGTTTCTCCGTCTGAGTTACTGAAATGTGAAGCATGGGGAAGCAGAGAAGTCTCCTTGGCTTTGAGTCGATGGTGACTTTCTCTCAAATGGATAATGAAAATCAATGAAATTGCTTTCAGGCTTGTTGTTGGTTGATGTTGACTCAGAGATTCAGCGCTGTCATTTGAGTCAGGCACAGAAGAGAGATGCTCTTCAGCATTAGAACATTTATATTTTCTGAGGATACGTTTAAAATATTTCCACTGAGGCCAAAGCTCAGGCTTAACATAGAATTCTCCAAAGAAGCTCTCACCCACGTTACTGAATGAGTTCCACTGCCTGTACCTTTACTGAGATGCATAAGTGTGCATAAGTGCATGCATGTGTTGTGCAATGTGCCGTGGGACTGACAGCTCTCTCCCTCTGATCCCAGGAACAGAACAATACGAACGGTTTGCCTCCCCAGCTTCCCTCCTCCTGCTGACCTTTTCTGGAAGTATTTGGACTTGACTACATTTGTTCTCCTGTATGTTCTGCCCTTGCTTGTGATCTCCATTACCTATACCATCGTGGCTAAGAAGCTCTGGCTGAGAAATGCCATTGGAGACATCACTATGGAGCAGTACTACGCCCATCAGAGGAAGAAGAAGATGACGCTGAAGATGCTGATGGTGGTGGTGATTGTGTTTGCAGTCTGCTGGTTTCCCCTGAACTGCTACGTGGTGCTGATCTCCTGCAGGGCCATCCACAGCAGCAATGCTCTGTACTTTGCTTTCCACTGGTTTGCCATGAGCAGCACTTGCTACAATCCCTTCATTTACTGTTGGCTGAACGAGAATTTCAGGTCTGAGCTGAAGTCCCTGCTGTGTGCATGCCAGCGGAGGAGCGCAGCACAGAGCCATGCCCTGCAGTCCATCTCCCCTCCATTCAGGCCCACTTGGCTCGAGAGCTGCCAGTACAAGAGAGGCAGCACCTGCCAGAAAACGGCATCATCCCAAAGGAATTCTGCCAAGACAGACATATCCAGCGTTCGGCCAATTGTGGCAGAGCACTGACCCCTGTCTGGTGGCCAGGCAGCATGCAGTCTGTCCCACTTTGGGAAACTGAGCTGCCGGTCAGCAGTGATAACGGTGTGGCAGCCGCTCAGCAGGATGCTGCGCTTTGGGTAAAGCCTGCACTGTAACACTAGGATAAACAGTTTTTAAAATCTGAAGCTGGAAAAGTTGGCACAGGGTTTGTTTGTAAAGCTTCATGCCCTCCCCTAGATAATAACATACCTTCTGTGTAACCTGGCTTAGAATCCTCACAAGCAGGAGCCTCACCAACCTCAGGCAGTGCTGTGCTCAGGGCTGTGGCTCTGTGCCTGGTATGGACCCCAGGCCTTCATGTTGAGAAACAGAGGGATGCACAGAGAGCTGTGTGTAAACACGAGGGGAGGGGGGAGGGGGGAGGTGTTCACCTCTGGAGGGTGATTCTCATTTTAACTGTGAAAAAAAAGAGATCTGTGGGCTCACTGCAGAGGCTGTCAGCTTCCTCTCCTGCATGCTGCTGTCGGGCTGGTAACCTGAATTCGGGCTCAGCTTTGGATTGCTGCTATGGTTAAGTGATCCAGAACTAATTGTGCAGGAGATGAGTTTGCTTCTGGAGTAAAGATTAGCTGATTGTGTAACTATTAAGCTAAAGCTAACAGTGCCCTTCCTTCACTGCAGATTTTGTTCATTTTTTGAATTTTTGGTCACTGACTCAGACCTGAGAATTGTTCCCTGATCTTATCCTACTTCTACAGCAAGGCTGACCTGTTCACAAAGCCATTATTTGCACAGATGTCAGTTTCTGGTAAGGTGAGGATGAACCCAATGCTTTACGTGACAGAATGAGAACCCATTATTTTCTTTCTGAGAAAAAGATGATTTGGCTTTATGGAATGGAGAATCATCCTCCACAGTGTGTGCTGACTCTTAAACTGCCCCTTTTTCATTTTTAATATTCTCTTGTTGAAAAGTGGCCCAGGGGTAAACGGGTTTTCTACTGACATCCATTCACAGAAATCTGGTGTAAAGCAGCCCCATGGGTGGCCTAAAATCCCACAGGTTGTGCACTGACAGCTCTGTGTGCCACCACAAATGGGGATGGACAAGGGTCTCATCAGAGATGGAGATTGAAGGGTAGGAGGTGGGACTGGGGGACCTCTGATGTGCTGGGAAGCTCTGCAGACCTGGAGGGTGGCACACAAGGCACGCTTTGGTGTGTCACCTCACACCCACTCTGAATCCAAAGGTTCTGGAGCCTATGTTCCAGCTGGAACGTGTCACACCAATGTCTTGGCATCACCAAATTCTCTGTAAGATCAGCACTGCCAGCAATGCTCAGTTATTTTACCTTATAACTGCACTCCACTCTTTCAGCTCGTGCCTCCGTCCATTTGCTAAAATCCTGAAACCTCTGTGGTTTTATTTGATTTATCCCAGAACATTTTGATGAGGTATAGAGCAGATGTTTCAAGGGAGAAAAACTGTTTGCCCAGTGTGTGTAGCTGCCAATTCAAACGTTACTGAATGGTCTGTGGCTTCAAGAAACTTTTCTATGTTTTGCTAATTCAAATCTCACTTTGCACCTTAATCCCCAAGGGAAGTATTACATTAAATACTGAAAATTAAGCAGGTCTCATCTATGTGAAAAATTCCGTAAAAACCAGAGCTGAGAAACTAAGAATTAATGAGTTGTTCTGAATCACAGCCACTGAGAAACACAACAGCCGGCATCATCAAGCAGCGACAACAAGTGTTCCCAGGGAAACCTGTGTGAACTTACTGGCAGAGCCTCGGCCCAGAGGAACTCACCTAATATCAGGTCAGCATCTTTGTAAGTGTTTAAACAGATCTGCAGTGATTGGAAGGACTTTTGTCTCCCATTCTAAAAGCATCTCAAGAAGAAATTTTCTCACTCTTTCAGTGAAAGCGGAGTGAGAAGTGAACTCTCCTCCTTTTTACAGAGCTTTTGTTTTGCACTGGCTTCCCTCCTGCTTTAATGGGCTTGTAGGAAATGACCCAGGTGGGGTCAGGAAGGCTCTTCTGTGTCTCCTGAATGAAGTACCCAAGAAGGATGAGCTGGGCTCGGCTCTCTGTGTAACTTGTCCTTCTGACCTCATCTCAGTGTGTGTTGGAACTGCTTCCTCCACCATTATCCTTTAATGCAAAATCCAAAGATATGTGTTCTTGAGAACCAAAACCCAATTAGAGAGTATTCTGACAGTCAAAGCTCTTTGTGCAGCACTGCACGTGTCCTAAATGCTGTTTTCAGTTACCATTCGATGCTGTTAGTATAGCATTTGCTGCATCTCTCACGGCCCAGAAAGCACTTCTGCAGGTGCTCTGCAACACTCCCAGCCTTTCCTTCGGGTCAGTGCCCCCTGTAAGGGCCTTTTCCCACATCAGCATTTTAAATACCTCCTAATGAGCTCAGAGAGTGTGGCTTATGCAGCTGCCATTGCTTTACCCTGCGATATCTTTTCAGGTGATGGGGACAGGTGGTTGCTGTCTCCTGATGGGTTCTGAGCAGCCCGAGCACCCACCCTGGCCGGTGGTCTGTCCAGCAGGCTGTCAAAAGCTGCCTAGACCTGACAGCAGGATGCCTGGCAGCAGATGGAAGTAATGTGGCTCATCCCATTTCACATCTCTAAAATAAGGTGTTGGTCTAGGCTACATCAATTTCCTGCCTTCGCCAGCTCACAGCAAAGTGAGCTACCCTTCAGCTCCTGCTTTCTTGCTTAGCAGTGAGAGACAATGGCTCACACTGTGCAAGGTTGGGTATTAGGAAACATTTCTTCTCTGAAAGAGTGATGAGGCACAGGAACAGACTGTCCAAGGAGTGGTGGAGTCACTCGCTGTCCCTGGAGGTGTTCCAAAATTGTGGAATGTGGCAAATAGGGACACGGTTAGTGGGCAGCGGCGGGTGGCTTGGGCTTGGTGATCTGAGAAGGCTTTTTCAACCATAATGGTTCTGTGATTCCATGATTTTTCTGCTCTTTCTCAGCCAACATGGGAAGGCTGAGCTGCCTAGGAGCTGGCAGAGCTCAGTATTGCTCTGCTGCAAACGCTGTTGGCTAAATCCAAACTGGCTCATCTGATCAGTCCCAGCGCCCTGCATTGTGAGCTATCTTGTTGAAAGAGTTGTACTCAAAATCAACATATTTTCTCTTATCAGGACGCGATATTGGTTGTCAGTCCTCTTGTTTTCCACGGGAGGAAAAGAGCAGGAGCAGAGCAAAGAAAATACACCGCAGAAATCCACGCGCATCGGGCGCTGCGGGGAGCGGCGGGACGGCGCCGTGCGTGGCCGCCAGGGGGCGCCGCCACACCGCACTGCCGCGCGGGGCCACTAGAGGGCGCCGTGACACCGCGTGTGGGCTGGGCGCAGAGCCGCTCTCCCCCCTCAGCGGAGCGGCTCCGTCCGCGCGCTCCCCTCCCACGGGCGCAGCGCCGCGCAGCCCCGACCCGCGGCCCGGGGGTTGCGGTCAGTGCGGGCTGCTGCGAACGGGAAGCGACGAGGCTGTCGTGCACCCAGACATCTTTATCGAGTGCCGCTTTTTCTGTACCTCTGTAACAGGGTGAGTGAAGGACTTCTCAGAGAATTTAAAAAATCACGTCGGAACGTGATTAGGCTTCAGAAGTGCGGTATGAGCTCGGACGCCGCTCGGAACCCCGCGCCGTGGCAGCCGTGTCCGCGTCCGTGCTGCGCTCGGCTCCGATCGCTCCTTAACGCCGGGGCTGTGGCTCTGCAGCGCTGCCCTGGCACTGATCTGCGGGGCCTCAGACATAAAGCGCGTGTGAGGAGTTCTGTATCGAAGTTTAAAGGACGCATTAAAATAAATAAGATAAGGTATCCTGGCTGCGAGCTCCTAATGCACCCAGCCAGATAACTACAATGGGACCCGAGCTCTCAGCAGCGATAGCGCGGGTCTGCAAAGGAAGTGAAGCAATTACGTTCCAAACACACTTCGCTGATGGATCTGGGCTGGCAGGCAGACTTCGGCAGAGCCTTTTGTGCTCCTGACCATAGAAAACAATCAATAGAAAGGCTTAACTTCCTGGACCTGCGCTGAATGCTAAGTTAGCAAAAGAGTACCTCATTATTATACTACATTTTACAAGGAAACAGTGGGCAGAGGAAATGTGACTCAGTGCAAATACTGGGATAAAAAGGTACTGTGCAAATGAACAAACAAACCTCTTGCAAGCAAGCTCTGCTGAGCGCCACTGTCGCATTCTTGTTGAGTCTCAGGGCATTTTAGGACCCACTCCAAAAGGGTTCTTCGCTATTCATACAGCTAAAAATAGACCTGACGTCTCAGTTGCAGTGCTCAGCCAAAGCTCAGAGCCAAGGAACACTGATTCATTGAATCCAAACCTTTGGGCCCTTCCAGAAAACCACAAGGTAGGTGACAAAGCTCCAGTGAAGTTGATCCAAACATTGACAACATCGGCCTTTGTCCTCTGACAGTGCCTCTCCTTTCCAGATTATGACTATTTGCTAGTAAGAATATTGCAACCAAATATACACAAAACCCAGGGATTGCAAAACAGTCGCCCTGGGGATGTTAAAACAAACAGAAATCCCACACGTATTTTTCCTCTTTCAGTGTCTGCCAAAGTCTGATTGCTGCTCTGAAGGCTGCTTTGTGCTATCTTTTTTCTCCATTTCTTCTCATGAATGGACTTTTGTCCACTCTTCTTCTATGTCCTCCACATCAGGCTTAACATCGTAAGACTCCATATTTTTCATACGGAAAGCCCAGTGTACACAACGTTTGCTTCCCTCAGTTCCCTGTCATAGGAAAGGATGCTGAGAACGTCGTGTAGAAAGGATCTGAACAGTTATGGTCCTCGTCTGCTTGGAACCATTGGAAAAAAGAGGTAACTAAAGAATCACGGAATCACAGAATGGCCCAGGTTGGAACGGACCTCAAGGATCACGAAGCTCCCACCCCCTGCCACACGCAGGGCCACCAACCTCCACATTTCACAGCAGCCCAGGCTGCCCAGGGCCCCATCCGACC